TCAAATTTCCCTAAAGTTTTATCAATTATTCCTAATATTTTATAGATTTCTTTAAAATTCTGTGAAATCTCTACGATTGTATTAATTCTATTTAAAATTATATATTGTAACATATCCCAAAATTTTTAACACTAAATTTTCCCTGAATATTCCTAGATCGTTTAAAATTTTCTCTATGTAATAATAAAATTCTACTTTGCCTCAGTTAGAATTTCCTAAGATTCGTTAAAAAAATTTCCTTAAAATTTATATAATTCTCAAAAAATCGCAAAATTTCCCCAACATATTTTTTGTAAATTTTAAAAATATTCCCCTAAAATATCACTAGATTTTTCCCCCTGGTAACATCAATCACCCATACACGTTGTAAATCTTTATTACCTTACATAAACAAACAACAAAAGTCAAAATAATGTACAAAAAAAAAAAATCCCAGATTATTTTGAAACATTACCCCGAAAAAAAAACATTTTGTACTTTATATTTCTATCCATTTACTTTTTTCTTATTTTTTTTTACACTTTTACAATTGTTCACCGGTTTAATGAATGTCGTATACATGTCAAATGGGCCCCTAGACCAAACGGACCCTGGGCGAAGTAGGTTCTCAGTCCTAATGGGCCCTTGTTCTATATTAGACACCCAAGACTATATAGAGACCTCAACCAAACTTAATTGAAACTGACTATTACGATTGGGACATTGAGCATTGGGACCAAGTTTGACTGGGGCCTATTAAGTCTGTGGCTAACTAGGACTGGGCCTTATAGAACTAGGGGCCTATTACAACTGGTACCTACTAAAACTGGGACCCATTAGAACTAATACCCATTAAAACTTAAGGGCCCATTAACACTAAGGACCCAATTGGACTGGAGCCCAACCAACCAATCACGCGCCTCAGTTCCGTATTATCGTAACACAAACACCTCACAAGTCTTATAAAAATCCATCACGTGGTATAATTATTGTAATAGATAGCCTAAAATAACTGCATTACATAACAATATATGGCAACATTTAGGAATTTTTCTCTATATATATTCAAGCTTTAAATATCAAGTTACAATGCGTAATAATAATCCACCTATTTCTTTCAATAATCACTACGATGACATGGTTACTGACCTATCATAAACTGTCTAACTTACATTCTGTTATTATTGTAAAAAAAGAAAAGATATCCCAGATTTACAGGATATCATATGGCAATACTCATGAGCCGCGGATTCAGTCCCCCCGGTCAAGGGAAGACGGGGTGAAACATTCAGAGTTAACATATCAAAGGTCCCGAATTGGCTAATCTTATACTAACCTTCTAATCTTGATACGTACCACACACCATAGCTGACGTTGAGAGATAAGTTAGCTTTCATAATCATCAATAGGGCATGGCTGATATTGAAAGACGTGTTAGCTTTCAAAACATCAATAGCTTCCTGTAAGGGGTCGGTCTTAAGGCGGTATCCATTGCGTACAAACTATTGGTTAGCTTCCACTCCTCGATCAGGCAGCAGCTATTTACTTTACAGTGTAAAATTTAGCTGTTGGGGACATTTTTTTTTCTTTTTTAGCTGATGTTTCTCACTGAGTCCTTGGACTGAGAATTTACGGAACATCTGGAGTCTCTTTCTTAGCTGTGATATTCGGATATTAGCTGAGTCCTGTATCTCCTTAGCTGTGGTGTTTAGCTTCAGTCTTTGCTGTAGTTCGTCTTGTCCTTCTTTTAAGATGCTGTGTATGACTTAAGCTGTGGGTTTTAGCTGTGTATCTTAGCTGGAATGCTCGTACTTGATGCTGGAATCTTCAAGAGGCTCCAGTACGGGGATCCTGGAAAGCAAAAAAAAAAAAGCATTAGCTGAGGTCCTTATGGCTTCCTTAGCAACGGTTATAATTCATGGAAGGTGATTGGTTGTTGGTTACTAGGCGATAATTCATGGAAGGTGATTGGTTGCTGGTTACTAGGCGATAATTCATGGAAGATGATTGGTTGTTGGTTGCTAGGTTATAATTCATGGAAGGTGATTGGTTGCTAGTTGCTAGGTGACTCACTAAATATGTCCTTTAACAAACAGAGAGACAGAGAGAGACAGAAAGGCATAGAGACAGATAGACAGATAGACAGACAAGACAGACATTCACTTACTGTTTCATAACTTGGTGAGAGAGGTGTTGAGAGTTAGGCAACACATGGTGAGGGGTAGAGGAAGGGGAGGCAGGATAGGTCACCAACTGGGCTGGGACGTGTGAAAGGCCAGGATGGGTCGCTGAGGTCAGGAGATGTGTGGCTCCATCTTGATCATGGATTGTCGCCACCGCCGCCGTTGACCCGCCAACGCCACCGCCGCCGTAGTGATCGGCGGCCTGGTGGTCAGCGTAATTTGTGATCACTGTTGATACTGTGGTGGTGAGAAGAGGAGGGGGGGGATGGTGTAGGTTATAAGTTGAGAGATAGTGAGAGAAAGAAGACTGAAGGATTTAGTAGAGGAGGAGAGAGAGAGAGAGAGAGAGAGGTTAGGTTAGGTTAGGTTCTCAAATCAATACATACAAGTATATTATATCAAAGGCTTACAATATCGCCATATCAAAACAAATGGAAAATGGGAGACAGACAGACAGACACTTACCATAAGATGGATGTGGCTTTAGCGAAGAGGCGCCACCCATACTCACGCTGCAATAATAATAATAATAATAATAATAATAATAATAATAATAATAATAATAATAATAATAATAATAATAATAATAACAATAATAATAATAATAATAATAATAATAATAATAATAATAGTAATAATAATAATAATAATAATAATAATAATAATAATAATAATAATAATAATAATAATAATAATACTTAATAATAATAATATGTAATATAGTAATAATATAATAATAATAATAATCACTTCACATTCTTCTTAAACTCAAATCCCAACATTGTTAAATCAACCATTAGTACAGTGTCATCTCAATATTGAAGCTTGGTTATATTGCACCTATGGTAATATTGAAGCTTGGTTATATTACACCTATGGTAATATTGAAGCTTGGTTATATTGCACCTATGGTAATATTGAAGCTTGGTTATATTGCACCTATGGTAATATTGAAGCTTGGTTATATTGCACCTATGGTAATATTGAAGCTTGGTTATATTACACCTATGGTAATATTGAAGCTTGGTTATATTACACCTATGGTAATATTGAAGCTTGGTTATATTGCACACCCTTGCTATATATTCCTACTTAAACTAGGGTCCGGCTTCCCTCTTCCTGGCCTAATCTAACACAGTCTTAAACTTTTTCTGTAACCTGTGACCTGGGCGATCTGCTAGTGACCTGGACGACCTGCTAGTGACCTGGACGACTTGCTAGTGACCTGGCGAACTCTGTAGTGAGCTGGAACTGACCTTGGGGGCCCTCAGACTGACAAAAGACCTGATAAAGAACCTGGAACTGACATAAGAGACCTGGTGTATAGTGGAGCTGGGACTGACCTGGCGCTGGTGTGGTAGCGGCTGGGGGCTGCCTGATGGGACTGAGAGGAAGAAGACCCAGAGGAAGTGCTTTTGGGTTTCCTCTTCCGGGTCTGGATTGGTCCTTCCTTCTTCATAGTGAGGGGACGACTCACCTGTAGAGAGAGAGAGAGAGAGAGAGAGAAGTGAGAGAGAGGTAAATTAAGGTAGAGAGAGTCATGAGGTGGATGATTGTAATCGGGGTTTAACTCATCAGCTGATCGTGTTAGTAAATAAACCCTTATTTTTTTTCATAGGATGATCTTGACGTATATGAAAACAACATAGTATTATTTTTTTTTTTTACAGGATGATCTAAGGTTGGTGGTGGTGTTGACCGATACTTTCTCATACGTTTCGCTCACTAAATATTTCCGGTCATTAGAGATTAAACAAAATCTTGTATGAAATGAAGAGATAAATTGATAAATATAACGAGAAATAATTTGTGATATAGTAATTATTTGTATATGTATAATTATAACTGAATAATTATTAATCTTATTTATGAAGGATTATGATATAGATAAATAAAGAATAAAATGATAAGATAAATAATAAAATAAAATATAATAAAGATGGATAGACACAAGTAATAAAGTAACATTGACGTAATAAAACTTTGTCACTTTATTAAAACAAATATTTAAACCCCAAAAAATCACAAAAAAAACTATTAAAGGAAATTTTATACTTCTAAAAATGTGTTAAAACTAATAAAAATAAGACTCAAGGTATTAAATAATTTGGGTATTATTTTAAAAACCTACTTATAATATTTAGAATGCATTAAAATTTTGGGTATATAATTTTAAAATGCTAAAAATTAATTGAATATATATCAAAGGCATAAAAAATCAGGCATTTTATTAGATACTCACTGAAAAAAAATATTCTTAAAATATTAACATAGTCACAAAGTATTAAACCCGCTGCAGTAATTAAGAAGCTATTAAAACCAATTTAATATAGACATAAAATTTTAAATATTGTCCTTAATTAAAAACACTGATAAAACCAATAAAATACAAACCCCGTTATTGCATAGTTTTAACACACAAATTAAAACCGATATAAAATAACCCACAAAATGAGATCAAAGTTTTAAATAATTTCATAGATTAAAAACTACTTGAAATACATTAATATTTTTATCACACTTCACAAAAAAATTCCTATAAAAATAAAATACGAGACGAGTCATTATCCTTTTTTTTTTTAACATCAATAGACTAATTTCACTCTAACTACCGGAAATAGTTGCCTGCCTTCTCCTCTTAGCCAATCACAGCCTAGGTTATTCACGTCTGCTAGTTTGTGTATCTCATCGTGGACAGCTAATACCGTATGAGTCTCAGTTCGTTATAGTAGCCATTTTGGGAGTCTCTAATTTGGGTCTTAAAGTTAATTAGGTATGATATGCTTGTTTGTTTTTGTTATATACAGGTTGAGTTGTTCATAGTTGTGTCTTAAGTGTACTTGTTGTGTGATAGGCTGTTAAATAATTGTTTTCATATTCTTTTTAGGGGGAAAAATTTGTCCTTTAAACTTTTGATGACCTAGAGATGGACCAATCAGAGCTGGACTAATCAGATCATAACGAGCAGTTGTCGGTCAGGGTAATTAAGCCATCATGATGAGATGGCCCATCAGGAGAGTGGCGGCGGGGGAGGAGGAGGGAGGGGGGGGGAGGGGGAGGAACCATCTGTAGGCGACGCTGAAGAATTATTATCTGGAGGGACGATCTGAGCACCGCCTCCTGCGATACATTAAAGACAAACGAGCAGTAACAATCCATCAGCTCGGTAACGACTGTCTAATGACCGCTAAATGGGTGGTTAACGATGATGGTAGGACGATCACGCCGCTCATGCCCACAACCCACGTTTGTTTACCTTTGTGCTGGTCGCTTATCTTCCGATGTCTAAGATTGAATTTCCTCGATATTTACTAAATGCCATAACACAACCGTTTTATATCAGAAATTTCATCTCAATCAATAAAGATGTATAATTTAATGAAGAATAATACGGGTGGGTTTTTTATTTTAATAATGGCTTAATAGTTTATAGAGGAAGACTGAGTAAGGACTGAAAAATTCGGGCGGATAGAGTGAGGCAGACTGTCCGGGTGGTCAAGTCAGACGGCTGTACAGTATCTTGCTTACCGATCGTCTTGAGCATTTCCTTTGTGTGTTTAATCCACTTCTCCCTTGTCAACTCACCTCTTATTTATTTAAATTACAAGAATATACAATAATCTACTTATATTTAACGTTCGATTGGGATAACAAGACTTAAAAATCGAGTAAATAAGACGAATGAAAGGGATGAAAATTTTGTTTCAAGCTAAAACGAACACATCTCAGCGCTTTGTGTATACGTGTGAGTGTGAGAGCCCTGCACCGCCCCGCCCACCACAGCCGAGAAAGATCACTCTACGATAACTCGCCCGCCCACCACCAGGGGGACAAGCCGACAGACCTACACAATATATGGGTCTGTTATTGGTCACTATTACCACACTCGACTCTACGTTTTTATCGCGCGACAACGCCAGTGGAATGAACGAAGAGGAGGAAGGCGACATCTCCCACCCTTTATTTGGCCGGGTGTTAGGTTGTCGTCTCTCGTGGTGCGTTGGTGGGTGGTTGGCTGTCGTCTCTCTGGGGGCCGCCGAGATACAGAGATACATCGAGAGAAGGAGAAAACGAGAGAGATACAGGTGAGAGAGGAGGAAGAAAGAGAGATAGAGGGGAGAGAGAGAGAGAGAAAGAAGGAAGGCAGGGAGAGAAAGAGATATAAGAACAGTAACTACATAACCACAGAAGAAATAAGAGAAAGAAATAGAGGATAGAGAAAGAGAGAGAGGAGAGAGAGAGAAGGAATAAATAAGAGAAATAGAACTAAAAGAGGAGACGGAGGAAGAAGGAGAGAGGAGGGGATGTAGGTGTAGGGAGGGAGGAAAGAGATTGTCGAGTCCTGAGAGAAACATAGGTGTTATGTCCGGGCCCAGTGACACCTGTTGACACCTGTAATTACTGACCCTCACCTACCACACCTCCATAGACCATAGACATACATACATACATACATACATACCAGTGGCGTGTATTCATAAGAAGCAAGGTAAGCATTGCTTACCCTATAACACTGATTCCCTTCCAAATAAAAATATCTTATTTAATTAACATATTATTTAATTCAATCGTGTATAGCATTGTGCATTTTTTTTGTCCCAGTTAATTTGTGAAACTTGCAAGACGGGCATTTTCCGCTTGAAAATCTATCCCTCAAGTACGCAATATTCCACTGCAGTACCCTGGCTCACAGCGTCAATGGTATGCCATTGCCAGACGTAAGATGAGCACAAATAATTTAACTTATGTTACTCCCCTTTTTCCAAACCCATGTAAATAAGGTTCAGATCAATTTAATAAGCTGTGGAAAGCATTCTGATGCTGGAATGTCCCCTCAATAATATTTGTTATTATCAGTCAGTATAATTAATTGTGCTAAAAATTTGGACAACGTAAGCACAGCGTCCTCCCTGGTCCCCCTCCCCCACCCCCTATACTCGCTGCCAGCAGCACCGCAGCATTACCAGTTCATTAATTTTTTTTTCAATGATAAATTCGTATCCGTAAATAATAATTATCTGACCTTTTTTATGTTTCACAGTTTCGTAGACTATTGGACTCATTATCATAGTACTTGAATAATGTCATTGTCATTTTGGAATAATATAATAAATTAATAATGGCTATAAACTTTTTTCGAATTGATAGATTTTGTTTTGAAAGAGATGGTATCACTGTATGAGGCTACGGTCTATGTCAACACTCAACGTAAGAAATTCAGTTGACTTTCAGAAGTCATGATGTGTGAGTGCGACGCATTTATTTGGATTAATATACCCCCAAACTGAAAATGCAGTCGCAGGAGGAGCAAAGTTCAGCATGTGCATGCACTGTATGTGATCTACTAAAGAATTCTTTTAGATCTCGTGACTTTACAAGTAAGAAAGTTATTGTGGAAAATGGCAGGCATATTCCTAAATTGATCATTTTGCTCGTAAGCCAAGAAGAATTCCATTGAACTATGTTTAAAATGGTAAGTTAAAATAATATTTTGTTAATTACTTCCTATTTCATAATTATGTTAAATGAATAATAAAATGATATTAATATTCTTACTCCAGCTTCATCAGAGATCTTACCAGCGTCATTTGCTTACCCTAGCATTTTTCTCACGACACGCCACTGATACATACATACATACATACATACATACATACATACACACACACATACATACACACATACATACATACATACATACACACATACATACATACATACATACATACATACATACATACATACATACATACATACACACATACATACATACATACACACATACATACACACATACATACATACATACACACATACATACACACATACATACATACATACATACATACATACATACATACATACATACATACATACATACATACATAATCAAGATAAGTATGCTTCCTCCACCAACAAACACGATATCATACATAAACAAACAACCTTATTTAAAGCTCACACAAACAAACAAACACACAAACTTTGAGACCACAATTGAAAAATATGTTAGACTAATAAGGCGTTTAGTTAATTACATCATTAAATAGTCGAATTGGGTAGTTAGTAATAGATTAATTACTGATTTGGTTAGGTGAGATAGGAAGCCGTACAGAATATTGTAATGTTTCTTTGGGTGTGTGTGTGTGTGTGTGTGTGTGTGTGTGTGTGATAGCCAGTCATGATATCATCGCCCTGGTTACCCATGTGTTTGAACTGTGGTTAAGACGACTTTATCATCTAGGAGTAGGTGGGTGTGGGAGTGTGGATATGGGAGTGGATGTGGGAATGTGGATGTGGGAGTCAGTGGGGAATGCTGGTGGTGGGTGGGGTGTGGATGAAACGGTGTGGGTGGTAGTTGTGGGTAGTGGTTGGAGGGGGTGTATGGTAGTGGATGGGTGGGGGTGAGGATAGGGAGGAAAGGAGGAAGGAAGGAGAAAGGACGAAAGAAGGAGAGAGAGAGAGAGAGGGAGGGAGTAGGGATGGTGAGTAGTGAGGAACGAGGGAGGAGGGAGGGAGGGAGGGAGGGAGGGGGGGAGGGGAGGGGAGGAGTGAGGAGGTAAAGTGAAGAAGGAGGAGGGAGGGAAGGGAGGGCGTCAACATCACAGTAGAGGCTGATGTTTACTAACACTGTGGGCAGGTCAAGGTCTCTCCTGATGTCCTTCCCACTTCCCCTCCCTCTCTCTCTCTTCCTTCTAGATCCCATCACCCCTCCTGCTTCCCACACCCTCTCTCTCCCACACCCTCCTCCTCCCTCTCTCTCTCTCTCTCCACACCCTCTCTCTCTCTCTCTCTCCTCTCCTCCCTCCCTCCACTAAGCTCCTCTCCCTTATCTATGAGTGTCTCTGGTCATGATCATACCCCTAATCTCCCTCATATCCTAATTGCTTCCCTCAAGACCCTAATTGTACTCTGATGTCTCCATTGCGTTCACTTAAGACCTCTCAGGTAGAGGGGGGGAGGGGGGAAGGGGGGGAAGGGGGGAAGGGGAGGATGTGTGTGTGTGTGTGGGAAAGTGGCGCTTATGTGAGACAAAGTGGTGTGTGTGTGTGTGTGTGTGTGTGTGTGTGTGTGTGTTTTATTACTCTCTCTCTCTCTCTCTCTCTCTCTCTCTCTCTCTCTCTCTCTCTCTCTCTCTCTCTCTCACTCTGAAACAGCACCAGGTAAATTCGTTAATCACCAGGTCAGTAAACATACATTAATTAGCTAATAGCCTGTGCAGAGAGGTACTACATCAGGTAACTACTCGTTAACCTGGTCATATACCTGTAATGACCTAGGGACCTGTAATGACCTGGGGACTTGTAATGACCTGAGGACCTGTAATGACCTAGAAGTAATCAGGGGAGGTCATAAGAGTCATTGATGCCAGAGATTAACACCTGACGACAGGACATGACGCAACTCTGACGTCACCCAATCCTAAGCTGATGACGTCATAGGTTTGTTTACATTGAAAGCCGTTCTTGAGGGAAATTTACCGGATTCGTATAGAGGATTGTCACGTGACGTCATAAATCGGTTAAAGGCTTAATATTAACGATGGATTGAACTGCCTCTTATTGTTAAAACGATGCCATGTATATGACCTAACCTTAAGTTAAATATACGTAAGGACAGGGAAGGGTAGGGGGAAGGATAGGGGGGAGGGGGAAAGAGAGAGGGGAGGGGTAGCTGTGGGGGGATGAGTGGGGGGGGGGAAAGGGGGCGTGGTTTATGCTAAAATTAGTTCTTTTGTTTGACAGACGAGTGAGTTACCAGCCTTCACCTTCTAACTCTTCTTTCTAACACTTCAAACGTATTGATTGTGTTTCTATATATCTCACGCTGTTAAGTCTTCAAAAATATATCATGCTTGTGTTTTTTTTTCATCATGTTAAGTGGTTTTAGATTGTAATTAAAGATTAGATGATATTATCGTACATGAGGCAAAGTGACGCTTCACCCCCTCCCTAACCCCGCCCAGTTTTAAGTCCGCGTCAGAACTTGGTGACCGTCATAGAATAAAAAATAAAACAATATATATACCTCGCTCTTACATAGGACACGAAACCGTTGAAAATGTACATAATAGACCCCCACTTTAATAAACAACACACACACACACACACACACATACACACAATAAAAACCTTATTTCTAAACATCTGAAGTTAGAGTATTCGCGTAGGAACACACAAATGACGTCACTGTGTAAACATAAACATTGAACTACGTCACGAGTCAACATAAACATTGAATTACGTCACGAGTCAACATAAACATTGAATTACGTCACGAGTCAACATAAACATTGAACTACGTCACGAGTCAACATAAACATTGAACTACGTCACGAGTCAACATAAACATTGAACTACGTCACGAGTCAACATAAACATTGAACTACGTCACGAGTCAACATAAACATAGCCCAGGGCCACACACCAGCTGTCAACAGTCAAGAAACACGACCAACCGCTTTGTATCGCGCTGCTCTACCTCTGCTCTAGCGATACAGATATCGATTGAGGTTTTATTGACCTTCCTAAGTAAATATTCTTGCAGTGTGCGTATTAAATAAAGTGTTTAGGTGAGATACGACTCCTAATTAAGATAACGGAGTCGCTAATAGGGTGTGTAAAGCACCTGGGGAAACGAGCCCAACCTAGGTGTAAAAGTCCACTTGGCCAACACCATATGTGGGGCTTTATCGGCCGGACACCTCCAAGTCCAACTCTCGGCGAATATAGATGGACTTGTAATTAGGGTGTGTGTGTGTGTGTGTGTGTGTGTGTGTGTGTGTGTGAGTGTGTGTGTGCGTGTGTTAGTTTTTTATCCCTGTTTCTGCAGATATTTGACTCTCTCTCTCTCTCTCTCTCTCTCTCTCTCTCTCTCTCTCTCTTATCTATATATGCTACACCTGAACGATAAACAAACTAGACTTTTTACCTCCACTCCTTTCTCTTCCTCCTCCTCCACCTCCTCTTCCTTCTCTTACTCCTCTTCTTCCTCCTCCGTCTCATCCCCTTCCTAATACGCAGGAAGTACTTCTAAGGTGGTGTGCACGAGGCAGCTGATCATTGACGTCATAACTCAGCTGATTCCCACACACCACACTACCCTTCCCACAGCCCACCACCCTTCCCACAGCCCACCACCCTTCCTACATACGGCAACATACCCACCACACGTGCCACAGAAGTACCCGCACTGTCTAGTGAATATTGACGACCTGATAACACGCCGCTAAATTACTGAAATATGTGTCAACACTGGCGGCCATGATGGATAGTTGACTCGTTTCACATACCGCCTGCCACCTAGCGCGCGAGCCTATGTTTACATCCCTCGACGACAAGCTACTATCACCTCTATCTCAAGGGGTGATAGAGTCCATAAGAGTGATTTTCCGTCGCTGTGGGTTGGGTCCGTAGACAGTAGATACAGGAGACGGGGAGGTATATGTCACCCAGGAGCCTTGAGCTATTGACAGGCAAGTGACAGAGGAAATGGTGTTTGTTTCACTCTTACCAGATGCACTACGGGTGGGGGCATTAGGTTAGCATAGATTAAACCATCAAAGGTCAACCAAGGTCACTATAGTCATTAAACCAACAAAGGTCAACTAAGGTCACTATAGTCATTAAACCAACAAAGGTCAAACAAGGTCACTATAGTCATTAAACCAACAAAGGTCAACTAAGGTCAATATAGTCATTAAACCAACAAAGGTCAACCAAGGTCAATATCAGGGCCACATCAACAGCAGAGGATACGTGGAGGATATGAGAGACCTTTAACATGATACAAGGATGGATTGTATCATGGTGTAACGCGAATGAGATCGAGACTGCAAAATAGGTCATGGTGTAGCTTGAAATACAGGCCACAAGCGTTACAGTACTACAGGCCACAAGCGTTACAGAACTACAGGCCACAAGCGTTACAGTACTACAGGCCACAAGCGTTACAGTACTACAGGTCACAAGCGTTACAGTACTACAGGCCACAAGCGTTACAGTACTACAGGCCACAAGCGTTACAGTACTACGGGCCACAAGCGTTACAGTGCTACAGGCCACAAAGCGTTTACAGTAGACCAGCCACAAGCGTTACAGTACTACAGGTCTGGCGTTACAGTACTACAGGTCTAAGCGTTACGGTACTACAAGCCACAAGCGTTACAGTACTACAGGCCACAAGCATTACAGTACTACAGGCCACAAGCGTTACAGTACTACAGGCCACAAGCGTTACAGTACTACAGGCCACAAGCGTCACAGTACTACAGGCCACAAGCGTCACAGTACTACAGGCCACAAGCGTTACGGTACTACAGGCCACAAGCTTCACAGTACTACAGGCCACAAGCGTTACAGTACTACAGGCCACAAGCGTCACAGTACTACAGGCCTGGCGTTACAGTACTACAGGCCACAAGCTTCACGGTACTACAGGCCACAAGCGTTACGGTACTACAGGCCACAAGCGTTACGGAGGGTACTACAGGCCACAAACTACGCAGTGCTACAAGCCTGAAAGCGTTACGGTACGCTACGGGCCTGGCTTCACAATGCTACAGGCCACAAGCCTTACGGTACTACAGGCCTGGCTTCACAGTACTACAGGCCACAAGCGTTACAGTACTACAGGCCACAAGCGTCACAGTACTACAGGCCACAAGCGTTACAGTACTACAGGCCACAAGCGTTACGGTGCTACAGGCCACAAGCTTCACAGTACTACAGGCCACAAGCGTTACAGTACTACAGGCCACAAGCGTTACAGTAACACACTATAACTCACCCCGTGCAATTTGAAGTACAGGCCACAAGCGTTACAGACAGGTTCACCATTGTTGTTCCGTCGCCATAGTGTAGTGTTGGTGGTCTGGCAGTTAGAGCAGGTCATTCCCGAGCGTCTGGGTGGTTGAGGAGCCGCTGTTGGCGCCACGTACTGCAGGTGAAGGGGTAGGTTAGGTTATGGTAGGTTATGGTGAGTTAGGGTGGTTTATAGTAGGTTAAGGAGGGTTATGGTAGATTATGGTAGGTTATGGTAGGGTACGTTAGGTTATGGTAGGTTAGGGTAGGTTATGGGGGGCAAGTACTACACGTGAGGGAGGAGGGGAGGGAGGAGAGAGGGGGGAGGAAGGGTAGGAGGGAGGAAGAGGAAGGGTAGGAGGCAGGGGGAAGACGAGGGAAGGGGAGGAGAGGGGGGAAAGGAGGGAGAGAGGTAGGAAGGAAAGAGGGGAGGAGGAGGGGTAAGGAAAGTTGAAATTAGACTAGAAATGTTGTCATAATCCCTTAAGTTGTTATATTTTTGCAAGGTTGCCACAGTCCTATAATTTTTCATAATCTCCGAATGTTGAACAGGATTCCCGAATTTGCCATAGTCATCGTTTACGTTGTCATAAGCCCCTCAAGTTGCCACAATCCCCTAAGTTGCCACAATCCCCGAGTTGCCATAATCCCTCAAGTTGCCATAATCTCCCCAAGTTGCCATATTAACTCACTGGACTAACAGGTCGCCGCTGACTACGAACGTGGGGTCTGTTGATGCCGTTAGCCCTACTGTAGAGGCCGCAGGCGTTACACAGGTAGTGGCCTCCTGAGTCCCGTCGCCACAGCGGGGTGGTCATGGCGCCGCAGTTGACACATTCCCGGCTCTCGTTGCTGTCTGGGTCACCTGAGGGTCAAACAAGAGGTCATGAGAGGTCACCAGGGTATATTGCAGGGAATTAGGGTCATATAAGAGGTTCATCAGGGTATATTGGAAGATCAGGGCTGTGAGGTCAGGATCAGAGCTGTGAGGGCAGGATCAGAACTGTGAGGGCAGGATCAGAACTGTGAGGCAGGATCAGGAAGGCTGTGAGGGCAGGATCAGAACTGTAGGGCAGGATCAAGAACTGTGAGGGGCTGGATCAGAGCTATAAGGGCAGGATCAGAGCTGTGGGGGCAGAATGTGTGAGGGCAAGGCCACCACGTGCAGGAGCAGGGAGCCTGAAGGAGCTCGCTAAGGATACTCTAACTAATGACTCCCCCAGGGATCTCCTTCATTGGCCGTCACGTTACCACCACAAAAACTTGATGTTTCTCCGCCCAAGACCTCCACTCTGTAGTCTATTGATGTTTTCATTAAGAATGTTATGTAGATGTTGTTTTGTGTATGTAGGTGTTATGTAGATGATTGTTTTCTTTATGTAGATGTAGTTTTGTGTATGTAGGTGTTATGTAGATGTTGTTTTGTTTATGCAGATGTTATGTAGATGATTGTTTTCTTTATGTAGATGTAGTTTTGTGTATGTAGGTGTTATGTAGATGTTGTTTTGTTTATGTAGATGTTTTTTTTTTCTTTTAACCTATTAGAGTTCAAGTACTTCAACTGCCAGGGTTATCACGGTTCAGATGCTTCAATTAACAGGGTCATTAAGGTACAGGTGTTTCAACTGCCAAGGTAATTAAGCATCATTTAATAGTATCAAGAAGCAATTAAAAACAAAAACGGGAAACAGCACACAAAAAATATGCCGAGAAAACCAATCATGGGCGGAATAACAAAAAAAAAAGGGCGGGAAATCACTCTCTTCGTCGTCTCCATTTACGTGCCAAAAGTTACGAGTCCTCAGAGACCCCTTGGTAAACAGAGAGACGTCAGGAGGCAGACAGCGGCCCGGAATCTGGAGTTCGTAGCTCCCAACTATAAATTACACTCTTAAGATGAGGACATGAAGCGGCCAGAGGGAGTTTTAATGGCGTAGAGGCGTGAAAGGTTGATAAGGAAACCTGATGATCCTCGGGCGGGTCTCTGAACGCCGTCTCTGTCCTGCCGCCAAGATTTTTACCCGCGCTTTATTCCCGCTAAAATTTAGGGGTTTCTTGTTGTTGTTGCTGTTCTTGTTGTTGTTGTTGTTATTGGTGTTTTTTTTTTATTAAGTTTATTCCCGTTTTGTTGATATATATATTTACTTTAGATTAACAACAGAAGCACAAAGATAGTCAAACATGCAAATTTACACACACACACACACACACACACACACACACACACACACACACACACACACACACATTCGAGAAATATTGAACCCCCGGCTTAATTTTGCTTGTGGTGCTTAGAGATAACGACTCCCCCATCCATACACCTCACATCCCTGCACCCCCTCACCACCCCATCCTGCCCCTCACCACCCATCCCTGCACACCCCTCACCACCCCACACAGGCCAGGGTCAGTTTACAAGTCATCGGCTAATTTAACCCATGACTGATTTGATCGCCAGTTAACTTGATCGACAGCTAACTTGATCGACAGCTAACTTGATCGCCAGCTAACTTGATCGCCAGCTAACTTGATCGCCAGCTAACTTGATCGACAGCTAACTTGATCGAAAGCTAACTTGATCGCCAGCTAACTTGATCGACAGCTAATGTAATCGCCAGGTTATTTGATCGCCACCATATGGAGATGTCAACAGCTCGTTATCATTACACCGATACACACGGATCTACACAGCCCTTGGGAGAGAGAGAGAGAGAGAGTATATTAATGTATTCAATAATATATTTAGTAATTTTCTTTACTAATAATAATAAAAATAATAATAATGTACATAGAAAAATAGATACAAATTAAGTTAAAAAAATAAGAGGTCCGTCAGTGAGGAAACAGTTGAGTTTACCCTAAAGTTATAATCCAAAGAAAATGGGAAATGTAATGGTAATGAAAATATAGAACTGGAGTTATTATCTCTCACTATTAGTCCTCTCCCCCTCTTCTACCCCTCCCTCCCTTCTTTACCCTCTCCTTCCCCCCCCCTCTTCCTCCTCGCTCCTTAATCTCCCCCTCCCCTTCTTTCCTCTATCCCACCTTCCTCTCTTCCTCCCCCACCTCACTTTTAACTACTCTCCTCCCCTTCTCATCCTCCCTTCCATCTCCTCCTCCCTCCACCCCCCCCCACCTTCCCACCCCCTTCCTCCTCGCCCCCCACTACCCCCTGAGGGAACCTGTGATACACCCCAGATGAGGCCGCTAAATGCATATTAATTTACGTCAGTGTACGCTATCGCCACCAGAGGGCCAACAACCTCCGCTTAAACGACTACGTCCCTTTAAACCTAAAATCCTTAAAAACTAATCCTCATTTAAGGTACATAATAATAGTTTAAGTAATATCCTATTAACCCCGAGAGAGAAATAGGGTGAAAATAGGATGTAAATAGGGTAATAGCATGTGTTATTAAGCAGTGTGGGTAAGGAGACGGGAGATGGGGGTTATTCTCAGGAGGATTTTCCCTCGAATCTCCGTCACTGGCACTGTGGGAACCCTGACACCCCCCTGGCACCTTCTGGCCCCCCCTGGCACCTTCTGGCACCCGCTGCAGTGTGTCTGGTCCTCAGTGCCACGCTACTTGACCTGTTATCATGGCTCTTAGGGTCACAAAGGGTTATAAAAGGTCACAAAGGATTATTATTATTATTATTATCATTATTATTATTATTATTATTATTATTGTTAAAGAACGTGTGTATGTAATAATAATAATAATAATAATAATAATAATAATAATAATAATAATAATAATAATAATAATAATAATAATAATAATAATAATAATAATAATAATAATAATCATACTAATAATTAATGGTTTATTGAAAGAGCATGGCAGACGGAAGGCTGAAAATATACAGTTACATAATTGGGGAATGGGTAACTTGATTGACAAATAATATACAAGTAACATAAGTGATACAAATGTGATATATAATAACTAGGTGGGGAGAAGGTCATACTACAGGGCATTTCAACATAGTGACAGTGCAAAAAAGTAAGATTGACTGGGAGTGAATACACTGGTTGATTACGAGTTATTGATAATTCTCACAATGGTTGGGACTGGGCTGTTCTTATAGTGATCAGTACGTGCTCATGTGTGTGTGTGTGTATGTGGAGAAGACCTACATACATAACATTCACACAATTAGACCACACAGTTCAGTTTTTGATCACGGTGCCTTAGAATCGATATTGCTTACCCTCTCTCTCTCTCTCTCTCACCTGGCTCTATCCGTCGGTAGGTCTCTCCTGAAGCCGTGTGGAGGATGGAATCGTATGGAGAGGGTGCAGGAGACCAGGCCGTAGCGGTGGTCATGTAGGTGTGATGAGGTAATGGAGTCGACCTGTCTAATACCTCTTGTTGTGGGAGGTACGGAGGCTGAAATACAATAGAGAGGTCAACTGAGGTCACCAGTTAGAGATAGATAGTTAGTTAGATAGATCATTATTGAAGACAGAGAAAGGTATTAGAAGGGATAAAGTATTGATTGTGTTTGTGTATAGGAGACGTTAATAGTGTGCTGATGAATCTACACACACACAGACACACTATTAACGTCTCCTATACACACAGACACACTATGAACGTCTCCTATACACAAACACACTATTAACGTCTCCTATACACAAACACACTATTAACGTCTCCTATACACACAGACACACTATTAACGTCTCCTATATACAGACATGCTATTAACGTCTCCTATACACACAGACACACTATGAACGTCTCCTATAGGTATATACCCTTAAATCTTCATAAACAATATTAAATAAAAACTAAACACGAAACATTTAATAGACATCAAAATCATCGACATTTTAGAACATAAGAACATAAAATTGATGATATTTAGAGCAATTTATTGACGATTTATTGACGATTTATTGTGGATGGACATTTGAAAGCACAATAAGAACGGGGGAGTGTATATGACGTAACAGAAGGTATTTATGACGTAACAGAAGGTATTTATGACGTAACAGAAGGTATTTATGACGTAACAGAGGGTATTTATGACGTAACAGAAGGTATTTATGACGTAACAGAAGGTATTTAAGACGTAACAGAAAGTATTTATGATGTAACAGAAGGTATTTATGACGTAACAGAAGGTATTTATGACGTAACAGAAGGTATTTATGACGTAACATAAGGTATTTATGACGTAACAGAAAGTATTTATGACGTAACAGAAGGTATTTATGACGTAACATAAGGTATTTGTGACGTAACAGAAAGTATTTATGACGTAACAGAAGGTATTTATGACGTAACAGAAGGTATTTGTGACGTAACAGGACAAAACACCAACAAACACAACACAACGTAACGTGAACATGTCGTAAACGTGTCTTACAGGAGGCAACTGGGTGTACTCAGGGGTAGAAGTCCACATAGCGGGGTCAGACTTCTGTAGGTGGGCGTGGGTGTGGGCGTTAGTGTGGGCGTGTCCAGCTGTTGTTCCATAAGGCGCCTGCAGGAATTCGTACCCACCTGAGCGTCGTGCCTCATCATTTACGTACCTGGAGGTCAGAGGTCAAGGTCATTATCATGGAAGAGGTCAAACGAGGGTCAACGATAGTCAATAGAGGGAGGTGAGGTAAGGGGAGTGAGAGGTAAGGGGAGAGGTAGGAAGGGGGGAGGTGAAGAGGGGTGGGTAAGAGGGAGGTAAGGGGTGAGGAGGAGGAGAGGAAATGAGAGGTGAGGGAAGAGGTAGGGAATACAGAGAGGGGGGGGAGTGTTAGAGGGGAGGGGAGTAGGGGGACGGGAGGGAGGTAAGGGGAGGGGGGAGGGAGGTAAGGGGAGGGAGAGGAGGTAAGGGGGTGAGGGAGGGAGGGAGAGGGAATGAGAGGTGAGGGAAGAGTGTAGGGAATACAGAGAGGGGGAGAGTGTTAGAGGTAAGGGGGGAAGGGAGAGGGAGGTAAGGGGGAGAGGGGGAGGAAGGCAAGGAAGTGAGAGAAAACGGAGCTCTGAAATTAATGGTTCTATACCCGTAGAGTTATTTCCTAAGTCATTATAAACACACAATCATTATATAGCTAAGAGTTGAATGTGAGTCATCATTACTATTAATTTCATCATCATCATTATCATCATCATCATTATCATCATCATCATCATCATCATCGTCATCACCACCATTGGACCTCTCTCTCTCTCTCTCTCTCTCTCTCTCTCTCTCTCTCCTTACTCACATGTCCTGGGTCTTGTAGTAATAGTAAGGGTTGGTATAGGGTATAGAGGCTAGCGTAGTGATAGCAGGGGCGGACTCTAGCGTAGCGTATGTAGCACCCTCGCTGCTCAGGTGGGTGTGGGCGTGAGGGTGGCCATCAACAGTGTGGGCGTGAACGTGCTCTACAGGGTGGCTGGTATCGTACACTACCACGCTCTGGACGGAGTACGGTGACTGCTGGGGAAAGGATAAGTCAACTGATCGGATGTCAATTAAAAAAAAACAGCTGATTGAATGACAACAACAATGGCGGATGTCAGTAAAAACAGCTGATTGAATGACAACAACAATGGTGGATGTCAACAAAAAACAGCTGATTGAATGACAACAACAATGGCGGATGTCAGTAAAAACAGCTGATTGAATGACAACAACAATGGCGGATGTCAGTAAAACCAGCGGATTGAATGACAACAGTAGCGGACGTCAACAAAAAACAGCTGATTAAATAACAACAACAATGGCAGACGTCAGTAAAACAGCTGATTGAATGACAACAACAATGGCGGATGTCAGTAAAAACAGCTGATTGAATGACAACAACAATGGCGGATGTCAGTAAAACCAGCGGATTGAATGACAACAGTAGCGGACGTCAACAAAAAACAGCTGATTAAATAACAACAACAATGGCAGACGTCAACAAAAAACAGCTGATTACATATAAATAATAACGTCAATAATGCAAACTGAGGGAGACTGATTATAAACACAAAGTATACATATATATACACTATATATAATCGAGCTAAAATAACAAATAAAAAAGTAAATAATGAGTGATTATTTATATGTTTATCTGTTTATTAACTAATACCTATTAAACACATATCCGCTAATTAGCTGAATATATTGTGTTAAGTCATACATTATATTTACGTTATAATTATGGATATATTTCACGATGTTGTAATTAATGATTTGAATAAGGTAACTGACTGAATAGAAGGAGGTAACTCAACAAATTATTACAAGGTAACTCAACTAATTAACACAAGGTAACTCAACAAATTACTACAAGGTAACTCAACTAATTACTACAAGGTAACTCAACTAATTACTACAAGGTAACTCAACAAATTACTACAAGGTAACTCAACAAATTAACACAAGGTAACTCAACAAATTAACACAAGGTAACTCAACAAATTAACACAAGGTAACTCAACAAATTAACACAAGGCAACTCAACTAATTTAATGAATACAAAGAAGTTACTCAACAAATCTAATGAGTTTTAGGACTATCTTCAATAAAATCGATACTCACATAGCTTCCCTGATCGAGGTCATGAACAGTTACTGGGATGTGAGTTGTGGCTGCCGAGGGAGGTGGTGACCCTAGTTCACCTTTGACCTGTAATGGTGTGAGAGGTTAGGTTAGGTTAGGTTAGGCCTTAAGTCAACTATGACGTCATAAACACAGGTATTCTTAAAACCAGAAAATCACATTCCTATAATGACGTCACTAACACTGGGTCATCAGGGGCGGATCCAGGAATATCAAAAGGGGCGATCCAAGACGCCAGGTGGGCGGGGAGGGGGGAACATGGCGAGCCTAACTAGTCCACCCAGCTGGGAGGGGAGTGCGTTGTAAGCTCCCCAGATTTTTTTTTTTTTTGAAATCTGATCAATATCCTGACTATTTTGAAGCCATGCGCACTTGATATTTGGAGATAATCTGAGATCAATAGTAATTACTTTTTATAATACTAAAATGCTTGGGTACAATACCGCATTAAAGAACAAATATTGGAATTTTCTGGTGTAAAGGGGAGTCCTGACCCCCTAGGACTCCCCTGGATCCGCCCTTGGTCATGAACTGCACCAATCAGCATATAAGGTCCGGGTCAGAGTCTGGTGTTGACGTCATTAACACCGGGTCGTGATCTAGCGCTCACCTCTGACTTTGGTGTGACGTGGATGGTGTGGGCGTAGGGGTGGGAGTGGGCGGCGGTGTAGGCGTGCTTCAGCTCTTCCTCTTCTTCCTCCTGCTTGACGGGCGTGCGGGCGGATAGATTGACGTCGTCCCTGATGATGACGTTAGTGGCCACGCCCACCTCGCTTACGGGCGTGCCGCAGCTTGAGGGTGGCCCACTGCTATGTGTGGTCGTGGTCAGCATGGTCAGGTTGAGTCCGCTGTCGTGGGTGGATGGTGTGGGTGCGACGAGGACGTTGTGGGTGGCATAGGCGTGGTGGGTGGCATGGGCGTGGTGAGTGGCATGGGCGTGGTGGGTGGCATGGGCGTGGTGGGTGTTGTAGTGGGTAGCATGGGCGTAGGCGTGGTTATTTGACGTGGTGAATGACATTTCCATAGAAGGTAACGGAGACGTGGTGGGTGGCGTGGGCGTGATAGGTGGCGTGGGCGTGGTGGGTGGCGTGGGCGTGGTTGTGGTGAGGGTGGAGGTGAGGGTTGTTAGAGTGCTGGTGTTATATAATAATTTCAAAAGGATAAATAACAAGAATTTTTCGGGGTTTATACACGTAAATTATACATTGTAAAAATATTATTCATATAATGTATAACATATTCCATTATTTTGCAGCTTCTATGTATAAAATATTCACCAAAACATAAAATAATTGAATCCTGTAATGCAATAAAAGACTTAGACTAAAGTTGAGTAAACAAAACACAATGTGGTTTTCTTATCAATAATCTCACGTCTCCATTGGTCAGGGGTGGGGGTGGAGGTGACTGATGGGATGGAGGGGAGGGCATGGATGGTGGGGAGGGGGGAGAGTGGGTTGGGGGGGAGGGGAGAGGGGTTAATTTCAACACCTTGTATTCACCTGAGATTGGATTTAGTCATCCTCAAAAAATATGTTTTATATACAATGTAAATTTTTGTGAGTTTACTAATAAGAAAAAAAATTACTCAGTTTAAACACATTTTTTGTTGACGTCTCGAAGCAAAACAAAAGGCGCCATCTTGCCTCCGTTCGTCGCTAGGTGTGTGTGTGTGTGTGTGTGTGTGTGTGTGTGTGTGTGTGTGTGTGTGTGTGTGTGTGTGTGTGTGTATGTAACGTCACTAAACATGCTTCTGGGGTTTATTTACAACGCTTCTAGGGGGGAGCTAATGTTGATGGCCTCAGAGGTAAACACCGTGATATTATACGAGGACTACGAGACTAATGACTTTATAATTATATTTTGACCTTTGACGAACGGAAGCAAGAATTCTGATAATATAACTCAAAACTCACAACAAATTATTGATGTGTTTACCGTACCTGGGGTGGTCTTGGGGGGTTGTTTCTCTGGATTGGGGTTGATGCCAGGGCTCCGTGGACATCCCTGACGAAGCAGGTCCTGGGGGCAGAGGAGCTGGATGAGGGCCGCAGTTCCCCCCGTCATGCTGTGGGGTGCCTGGTGCGATGACAGATGGTGGCCCAGGTCGAGGTGATCTTTCCGCCTCCTGTGCACCAGCTGGGATGGGGGAGGCGCTGGCACTAGCCTCACCGCTCATGGCCACCAAGTACCTCCTCTACTGACGGCGATTCCTCAGGTGGTCTTGCTATAGGGAGGAAAATTCGTGGGGTCTTGAGAGGAAAAAAATTAAGTCTTGATGATGGGTTTCAAAGGGATCTCACGGGAGGTGGTGAGAAGGTGGTCTTGTAGGTGACTTTTGGAAGTGGATTTTAGCGAAGTTCCGATCGGTTCTTTGTGAAATTTCAATGGAGGTCTTAGTGGTGATACAACGAGGGTCTTAGTGGTGTATCAATGAGGGTTCTGTAGATGGTCTTAGAGGAGGGTCTTACTCTAGAGGTTCAGTTCTTCAGTTTTTGATCTACTTGGTGTTCTTTTTAAAACCTTCAAAGGAGTTCCCCAAGGTGAATGTTTGGGTTCCCTCGAATATTTCTTTATTTTGAATCAGATTTTCATGCAATTTCTTGATGTCGGTTCGGATTTTCAGGCGATTTCTGTCTTGTAGTATAGATCTCTCTTGGCTCGTCTCACGTCTTATGTAATCCTTGTAAATATCCTGCCGGCCCTCGACGTCACTCCTAGAAAAAAAGATACATTAATTAGATCAGTTTGTGGCATGATAGGTGAGTGACAGGATAGTTTCGTGACAGGATAGTTGAGTGGCAGGATAGTTGAGTGACAGGATAGTTGAATGACAGGATAGTTGAGTGGCAGGATAGTTGAGTGACAGGGTAGTTGAGTGACAGGATAGTTGAGTGACAGGATAGTTGAATGACAGGATAGTTGAGTGGCAGGATAGTTGAGTGACAGGATAGTTGAGTGGCAGGATAGTTGAGTGACAGGATAGTTAAGGGCCAAAAAAAGTTAATGCCACCTCAGCTCTGGGGACAAAATGAATCTCTTATTACGACACTTATAAGTAAGGTATTATCAGTGCCACTTCCTGAAACTGGCACTAACTCACAGGGGGGAGGAGGGGAGGAGGCCACGAAAAAACAGGAAATTCCCTCCCCATCAAGTGCACGTGTTTAGTTAATCTCCCCCTTTCCCTACTTCTCCCCCAATTTCTTCCCCCCTATACCTACCCCCTCTCATCTTCTCTCTCCACCCCTCTCTCTCATCTTCTCCCCCCATCTCTCTCTCTCTCTCCACCCTCCTCTCTCTCTCTCTCTTACATTCTCCTCCCTACCTCCTATCTTTTTTTACCTACTCCTCATCATCTCTCTCCAGTACCTCTCCCTATCTTTATCATCTTCAACATCTTCACCCTCTACTTCCTCCTCCCTCTCTCCCTCCCCCACCTAATCCCACCCCCACCCCCAACCATTACAAGTGTTATCAACGACTTACTAAGACTTTGAGCTGCCTCTCGTAAAACATTTCCTTCCATAACACAATACTTATTACACCACACTGAGGAATATTTCTTTGACTGAGGAATATTTTTTGACTGAGGAATATTTCTTTGACTGAGGACTATTTCTTTGACTGAGGAATATTTCTTTGACTGAGGAATATTTCTTTGACTGAGGAATATTTTTTTACTGAGGAATATTTTTTGACTGAGGAATATTCCTTTGTGTTTCTTCAGCTCAAAGTCCCCTCCTTATCTGATCTGGCTGATGGATATTTGGATATTTTTTTGTCGTAGGTGAGAATAAAATGTTGTTGTTGTTGTTGTTGTGATCACGTGAAGATTAGGTTGACGTCATGTTATGTTAGTTTAGGTTAAGTTACGTAAGGTTTGGTTAGGTTAACGTTAGGTTAGGTTAGGGTGGTTTTATGCTTAGGTTAAATAAACTGGGGTGCTAATCTTTAGGTAATCTATTACTTATTAACTATGTCTGTACTCTGAGCTTGTGAGTGGTTGGCTGACTCTGTTTATCTAATTATTATTGTAATCGATAACAAGCTAATTATTAAAAGACTAATTAGTGAATGGTGCTTAATAACCCTGGTGGTAGTTGAAGCACCTAAAACTAAGACCTAGTGAACGGTGCTTCATAACCCTGGTGGTAGTTGAAGCACCTAAAACTAAGACCTAGTGAACGGTGCAATAACCCTGGTGGTAGTTGAAGCACCTAAAACTAAGACAGTGAACGGTGCTTAATAACCCTGGTATAGTTGAAGCACCTAAAACTAAGACCTAGTGAACAGTTTAATAACCCTGAGGTGGTAGTTGAAGCACCTAAAACTAAGACAGTGAACGGTTGCTTAATAACCTGGTAGTAGTTGAAGCACTAAAACTAAGACCTAGTGAACGGTGCTTAATAACCCTGGTGGTAGTTGAAGCACCTAAAACTAAGACCTAGTGAACGGTGCTTCATAACCCTGGTGGTAGACTGTTAATCAATATGGAACAACAAACAAAACCACAATACCTTCACAATGAAACTTTTTATAACCAATTTTTTAACCAATGTTGATTTGGTGTGTAATGGTTAACGGTTACAGGTACTGATAAGGCACAAGTACAGGGTCGGGTACAGGTGTAATTACAGGTAGAAATACAGATACAAGTACAGTTACAGGTAAAATGCAAAGTACAGGGTCGGTACAGGTGTAATTACAGGTAGAAATACAGATACAAATACAGTTACAGGTAAATGCAAGTACAGGGTCGGGTACAGTGTATTACAGGTAGAAATACAGATACAAGTACAGTTACAGGTAAAATGCAAGTACAGGGTCGGGTACAGGAGTAATTACAGGTAGAAATACAGATACAAGTATAGTTACAGGTAAAATGCAAGTACAGGTGTAACTAAAGGTAGATTTAATGAACAAAAGTACAGGTAGAGGTACTGTATAGTTTTAATATTTACCTCCTTCTCATCTCTACCCTACACACTCTCATTCACTCTCACTCACTTTCACTCCCCTCCCTCACTCCTTCACTCTCCCCACTCCTTCACTCCCCACTCACTCATCACTCCCCCCTCACTCACTTTCCTCCCCCTCACTCACTCTCACTCTCCCTCACCCTCTCCTCCCCCTCACCCTCCCACTCTCCCTCTCCCTCCTCTCCCTCACTCCTCTCACCTCCCCCTCACCTCCCTCATCCCCACTCAAATACCCTCTTCACTCATTCCCCACTCCATACCAAACACTCCTCCTCATATCGCCCCTCTCCTCTACCACCCCCATATCCCCTCCACTCCTCTTCTCCCCTCCCACCACCCCATATCCCCCTCCACTCCTCTCTCCCCTCCTCACCACCCCATATCCCCCCCTCCACCTCCTCTTTCTCCCCTCCTCTACCACCCCCCATATCCCCCTCCACACTCCTCTTTCTCCCCCTCCTCTACCACCCCCATATCCACCCCCCTATCGTATGACCACTACACAACTTGTTTACCTTTCACTAAACCTACCTCTAGCTGTGCTCTCCTCCCTCCTCCTCCTCTTCCCCTCCTCTTCCTTCTTGTTCCTTCTTTTTTCTTCCTCTTACTCCTCTTCCCTCCTCCTTCTCCTGCTCCTTCTCTTCCTCTTGTTCATTCTTATCCTCCTCTTACTCCTACTCTTCTTTCATCCCATCTTCTTGTTCCTCCTCCTCTTCCTTCTTCTCTCTCATCTCCCCTCTGTTATCATATCCCCTATTTATCTCCTTTCCCCCCTCTCCTCCTCCCCCCCTCTCTCTCCCCTACTTACCCCTCCCTCTGGCCTCTCACCATGCAAACACAGGGAAGCGTGTCACTAATTTGGTAAACACACACACACACACACACACACACACACACACACACACACACACACACACACACACACACACACACACACACACACACACGTACACATTAAGAGGAAAATTTACCGTACGAACCTTTGAAATCTATATTTGTGTCGTAGCTAAGTGCCCAGTTAGGTTAGGTTAGGATAGGTTAGGTTAGGATAGGTTGGATAGGATAGGTTAGGTTGGATAGTGACCAGTTGGTTTGGATAGATAGTTGGTTGGATAGGTTAGGTTAGGTTAGGATAGGTTAGGATCTAAGTGACCCAGTTAGTTAGGTTAGGATAGGATAGGTTAGGTTAGGTTAGGTTAGGTTAGGTTAGTTGGGAATAGGTTAGGTTAGGATCTAAAGTGACCCAGTTAAGTTGGTTTGGATGTGTTGTGGTGGTTAGGATAGGTTAGGATAGGTAAAAAAAATCTTATAAACTTTTAATAAATCTTGGACTTGACTTAGAGTTCAGTTAATCCAGTGGAGGATTATGAGTCCATTGGATTATATAGTACCTTCGACTCGACTAATCCAGGGAGATTAAGGGGAGGGATAAGGGACTAGTTGTGAGCGTGGTGGTGTACTGTGGAGTCTTAAGGAAGGGTGAGTACGATTTATCCTCCCTTTTGTCCTTTATGCCCCCTATTCACCCTTTGTTCCAGTGTTTTCTCTGTATTCCCCCTTCTCCCTTTCCACCTGATTCCCTTCCCTTTCCTCCCATCTCTTTCCCCTTCCCTTCTTCTTCTACCTTACCGTTCCCCCTTTCATCTTCCCCCTCTCCCCCTTTATTCCTTTACCCCTTTGAGAATCCACATTAGTGCCATAGCTAAGTGGGTCAGTTAACTACGTTCCTTCACCAGTTAGATACGGTCTCACCTCACCAGTTATCTACGTTCTTACCTCACCAGTTATCTACGTTCTCACTTCACCAGTTGGATACGTTCTTACTTCATCAGTTAAATAAGTTCTTTCTTCAGTTAACTACGATTTTATTTCACCAATTAGATACGTTCTCACTTCACCAGTTAAATACAGTTAAACAGGGAGAACCACTTGCTCAAGATTAACCCCGAAGACTGTGAAGATATATTAAGGAAAATAACTTGAACCAATGGATCTTATATGACACACACACACACACACACACACACACACACACACACACACACACACACACACACACACACACACGACACACACACATACCATTTTATCAACAGTACAAAGGTGAAGTAGACTCATTTTGTGTTGGTGTGCATGAACTTGTTTAGACCAAATTAAGAGACGCGACATCACCACCTCCCAACACTGTCCCCTAGAGCTATAGAACTGTCTGGGTGGTAGTGACTCTCCTTGAGGTACTCCCGTCTCTAACTTAATTCTTGTTTACTGTGTTACCTGATTACTGTATTAGGTGCATGTGTGTATGTTTGGTTGGTGTATAATGGTGGAGAATATTTCGGTCAATGTAATTCGTATAATTATTTATTAAATAGTTTTCGTAATTGTTGAATTCTGAAATAAAGTTGTAATTTCTATTTGCTTGTTAAGTTTTATGGATTATATGTACACTCACGCACATATATACATGTACATAGACACTTAAACATCTAAACACATACACGTACACATAGCCTACATATACACACACATACTAGAACGTGCACATAGCCTACATATACACACACATACTAGAACACGTGCACATAGCCTACATATACACATACTAGAACACGTGCACATAGCCTACATATACACACACATACTAGAACACGTGCACATAGCCTACATATACACACACATACTAGAACACGTGCACATAGCCTACAGATACACATACTAGAACGCTTGCATCTGGTCTGCCTTATAACACCATTCAGGAGATAACCTCCATCTAATCTGATTACAAACATCTAATCACATCCTGAGTTAAAGATATAAAGATATAATATGTAAACAAGGGATCAATGGGAAGAGTCTTACAGTAGCCATCACCTGGGAACCTCCTGACGCTTGATACTTGGGCTATGAACCACTGTGGAGAAAAAACTCAAGAAAAACTAAAAATTCAGAACTGAGGTTATTTTTGTTGTCTCCAGCTGTATGAATAATCCCAAAGCGACGTCAAAATATGAAACTGTGTCTATTACAACTCAGGAAATAGAAACAATTCCAAAGTGGCATTAAATTATTAAACTGTGCCTATTATCATACACATTGATAATAGTCTCAAAGTGGAATCAAAATAATAAACTGTGTCTACTGTAAAAACACGTTAATATTAATCCTAAAGTGACATGAAAATATTAAACTGTATCATGTATAAAACAATAGAACTAAACCTGTCGTCGAGGATAAAATCACTCGTCGTTTAGAGATACGTGACTTGCAACCCATTACCACATCACCGCCATTTTATAATTCCTCCCCCAGTATACGCGACATCCCTCAGGTCTTAAAACTCACTAAACATTAACTTACGATTAAAACTGTTTGCTATTATTTATTTTTCGGGTTTTAAGGACATTTTGGTATATGTTATGTGGTGGAGATTTAGACCCTCCCATAGTGTTATATATTGGTTTGCGTGACGCTAAACGATATTATTAAGTTGAGAGATGACATTGTATAAAGGAGAGGTTGAAAATAGTGATTGTCTTTCCTCAGCCATGAAATGTTTACTGTAAAAGTGAATCAATTTGACTCGTAAATCACCACAGTGTTAGAATTTTATAGAATCATGACTTGATTTTCTTATTCTTACCAACAATAAATAAAAAAGATGTTGCCTCATGAACCTTACGTTAAAACTTATTGATCTTCTAATCAAACTAAATCTATCAAAGGACTTATTCAGTTCAATCATGCGTATTAGAACTTAAATAAACGTTTCCTTAACCATAAACTTCATTGGAATCATCACCACTATACTCAGCTGTCACTTGAACCATTGTTATTATACCTTGTTAGACCTCCTCCTCGACTCGACCACATCAAGGTACTGCTTACTGTACTGTAGCGCCACCAACTCTCCCCTACAGTAGTGAACAATCCTTTAAGAAAATTCACATCATTTAATTACTCTTCTGTGTTTTATTGATCGTTTCCCAGAATTTAATATGGAGTATCAAATTGTATCGATCATCTCTGAAGACTTTGAGAGGTAATAGCAGCTTACATGTGATTGCCTTCCTGTACGTGGGGTGAGTCGGGGTGAACAGTTCTGGATCTTTGGACTGGGTCAGCTAAGGTCAACTGTGTTTAGGTGATGGGGTAATAACTGTGGTCTGTTAGATGGTGTTGAGAATGTAGTATGAGTGTATACTGCTTGTATTATACTCTTAAGTATGGTGCAGTATATGTGGCACTATCAACGTGGTATTGTTAGTCGAGCACTGTAACTGTGGTACTGTATATGAAGCACTAAGTATAACACTGTAAATATAGCACTGTAGTTGTGGCACTGTAAGTATAGTTCTATAAATTAAGCACTATAAGTGTAGCAATATAAATGAGGCACTGTAACTGGAGTACTTTATGTGAGGTACTGTAAGCATGACACTGTAATTGGCACTGTAAGCATGGCACTGTAATTTTCACTGTAAGAGATTCATGTTAACAAAACTGTTGAATAAATACACAATAAGTTAGACACTATAAATTAGGCTGTATATATTCAGCACTAAACACGAGGCACTGTAAACGCGGCAGGGTGCCACTTGTTGCTGGCGGGCAGGCGGGCTGGCTGACTGGGCTACGGGTGCCACAGCGGACCGGAGTCAGGCTGGCACCCTCCAGAGCCAACCCTCAGCTGGAAGATGGCACCTTCCAGCAGTGTCAGGTATGGAGCATCACATAGACTCAGGGGGTGAGGGTATTCCAGGGAACTATGGCTCCCGATGTGATAGTTGGCCTGAGATAAGATTTTGGTGTGTGTTCAAGGAAAGATAGCACGAATAGCGAGGTGTGTAGCCGTGGCCAGGAACAATCATTATATACCTTCAGAGATAAAATGATAAAACACTAATCTTTTCCAGTACTATCTTTGCCTGGGGATAATCAGAAGATCCAGTACAGCTCTGGAACCTGTAATAACCTGAGCGGTGGAGAAGACTTCTGGAGGCTGAGGTTGGGTGACGATCAGTCAGACTCGTCAACAAAGGTTTCTCAGTATGACAGGTGATCTGGGAGGAGGGGGCAGTGGTGGTGGGGAGGATCGGCAGGTAGAATACTGGAAGCTGGAAGGTGTATGAGTGAGGTGTGTGTCATGATGAGGTCAGACACTTACCTGTTGAGTTTGGTGTGAGCGCTGCGGTGGGTCCTGGAGTACCGGCCGACTAAACCATGTCCTCCCGGTGCCTGGGTGAGTTGGGGGGGAGGGAGGAGAGGCAGGTGGAGTGCAGGCAGTCACCTGGCTGCTGCGGCCGCCAGCTCGCTCACCTTTCCCTGCTGCTGGTGCTGGAGCCGGACGGGGCCGGAAGGAAATGTGGGGATATTGACTGAGGTGGAGGAAGGAGGTCGGGACGGAGGTGGTGGTGGTGAGTAGGTAGGTAGGTAAAGGAAGGCTTCCAGGGCGTGCGGGCCGTATTAGGGAAGCCCCTAGCGTGTGGCCAGGCCCCAGGGCAGGAGGACCACACACACTCCCCACTCCAGCCAATCACATGCTGTTATCCTCTAGGTGTTCTCTCAGCTGGTGTGCCTTAAACTACCCTCCTAACTCCACCATTAAATATATATTTGTCAGGCCAATGACTTCCATCACTCGACTGTCCGGGGCAAGAAGGAAACTCACCCGTGATGGTGGTGTCGGTAAGTGTGAGAGTCAGATGGTGGTGCTATGGTCAGGTGTGCCTTGTGGGCCCCGGGTGTAGGTGGGCCAGGTAGTGTGGTGGTCGGCGCCCCACGTCAAGAGGTGAGCAAACAAGGCTGCCAGCTTATCGCGCCTCGATATCTCTTATCGCTCCACCTTATCGGCCCACATTCGTGCCTTTTGATTTAGATAATTCTAAAAATGTTAGTCTGGTACCAGGGTGAGGAAGAACCAGTTGAGCGAAAGTTTGTTGATGGAGTCGGTAGTTAAGAGTCGTGATAACACATGCGGGGCAGCTCGCTAGCCTCGTCTGCTTGACTCACCACTACAATTCACTCAGCAAAAGCTAATAAACTGCCAATTATTCCGTTAGCGACAAATCCCGTGCGTTATCTTCAACCTTCTGGCAGCGACTAACGAAGCGGCCCACTGAGCACCTCGCCCAGGATGTGGTGCTTCGTGTGTTTGTCGTCACAAGCCTGCAGTTTGGCGCCAAAACTACCTTCGCGTTTCACATCCGCCGCCATCTTGCCCGGCTACCTGAACCTTGAACTACTTTACGAACTGGCCGAATTTCACTCATTATTTCCTCATCACCTTCACACTCACACTCACACACACTCATCCAAACAACTTAAAAAAAAAATCATATTAAGAATAAAAGGTGACTGACCGTTAGAAACACCGTAACGGAATTAACGGTACAAAAAATGAAGAACTTTTTGAATATTAACGATTTTTTTTCGACCATCTGTCACCTTCGTACGTCTACCCACACTCAGCTCTCTCGTGGATGAACAATTTCCTCAGTGTTCAATATGTTACGTCAATCACAAGTACCTGACATTAGTGGCCACTGAAACGTATATAGGAGAAAAATATTACAGGAAAAACAAGTAACATAACATAACATAACATAACATAACATAACATAACATAATAATAACATAACATATCAAACATAACATAACATAATAACAGCATAACATAACATAACATCACATAATAATAGCATAAACTAACATAATAAAACATAACATAACATCACATCACATAATAGCATAACATAACATAACAAACATAACATAACATAACATAACATAATAACAGCATAACATAACATCACATAATAAAACATAACATAACATAATAACATAACATAACATAACATAACATAACATAACATAATAACAGCATAACATAACACTCACATAATAATAGCATAATATAACATATAATAACATAACATAACATAACATAACAACATAATAACAGCATAACATAACATCACATAATAATAGCATATATAACATAATAATAACATAACATAACATCACATAATAATAGCATAACATAACATAACAAACATAACATAACATAACATAACATAACATAACATAATAACAGCATAACATAACATAACATAACATAACATGACATAATAATAGCATAACATAACATAATAATAACAATACAAATATAACAAAATAACATAACATAACATAATAACAGCATAAATAACATAACATAACATAACATAACATAATAACAGCATAACATAACATAACATAACATAACATAACATAACATAACATAATAAATATACAAACATAACATAACATAACATAACATAACATAACATAACATATAATAACAGCATAACATAACATAACATAAACATAAATAAACATAATAACAGCAAACATAACATAAACATAAACATAACATAAAAACATAATAATAGCATAACATAACATAATAATAACATAACATAACATAACAAACATAACATAACATAACATAACATAATAACAGCATAACATAACATAACATAACATAACATAACATAACATAAATAAAATAACAGCATAACATAACATAATAATAACATAACATAACATACAATAATAACATAACCCATCCTAACCTAACCTAACCTAACCAACCTATCAAAACCACAACAGTTAATTACTAGAAAATGTAATCATCAGGTGAACTAATCTAGGGGTGTCTAATCTTCATATAACAATTAAACTCGATTAAACCTATCATTCAAAGAGTAATTTGACTTGTCATTAACATAATAGTCTTCATTAGTGGGTTAAAATGGCCATTATATTGCTTTTGAGACTGCAGGTAGGGAGAGGGGAGGTCATCAGGTAAGGTAGGGGGGTCATCAGGTAAGGTAGGGGGGGGTCATCAGGTAAGGTAGGGGGTCATCAGGTAAGGTAGGGGGGGTCATCAGGTGTAGGGGTCATACAGGTAAAGGTAGGGGGGTCACAGGTAGGGGGTCAGGTAAGGTAGGGGGGCATCAATCAGGTAAGGTAGGGGGTGCAACAGGTGTAGGGGGGTCACTCGGGTAAGGTAGGGGGTCATCAGGTATGTAGGGGGGCCATCAGGTAAGGTAGGGGGTCATCAGGTAAGTAGGGGGTCAACAGGTAAGGTGATATCAGGTAGGTAGGGGGCCACAGGTAAGGTAGGTCACCAGGTAAGGATAACAGTAAGGTAGGGGGTCATCAGGTAAGGTAGGGGCATCAGGTAAGTAGGGGGTCATCAGGTAAGGGAGGTCATCAGTAAGGTAGGTAACAAGGTAGGGGGTCACCAGGTAAGAGGGGCACAGGTAGGTATCATCAGGTAAGGTAGGGGGTCATCAGGTAAGGTAGGGGGGTCATCAGGTAAGGTAGGGGGCATCAGGTAAGGTAGGGGTCAACAGGTAAGGTAGGGGGTCATCAGGTAGTAAGAGTAGGGGGGCATCAGGTAGGTAAGGTAGGGGGTCATCAGGTAAGGTAGGGGGTCATCAGGTAAGGTAGGGTCATCAGGTAAGGGGGGGAACAGGTAAAATAACAGGTAAGGTAGGGGGGTCAACAGGTATAGAACAGGAAGGTAGGGGGTCAGGTAAGGTAGGGGGGGTCATCAGGTAAGGTAGGGGAGGTCATCAGGTAGGTAGGGGGGGTCATCAGGTAAGGTAGGGGGGTCATCAGGTAGGTAGGGGGCCATCAGGTAAGGTAGGGGGGTCATCAGGTGGTAGGGGGGTCATCAGGTAAGGTAGGGGGTCATCAGGTAAGGTAGGGGGTCATCAGGTAAGGTAAGGTGTCAACAGGTAAGGTAGGGGGGTCATCAGGTAAGGTAGGGGGTCATCAGGTAAGGTAGGGGAGGTCATCAGGTAAGGTAGGGGGTCATCAGGTAAGGTAGGGGGTCATCAGGTAAGGTAGGGGTCATCAGGTAAGGTAGGGGGGTCATCAGTTAAGGTAGGGGGTCATCAGGTAAGGTAGGGGGAACAGGTAAGGTAGGGGGTCATCAGGTAAGGTAGAGAGGTCATCAGGTAAAGTAGGGAGGTCATCAGGTAAGGTAGGGGGGATCAGGTAGGTAGGGGGTCATCAAGGTAGGGGTACCAGGTATAGGGGTAGGTAGGTAGGGGGCCAATAGGTAAGGTAGGGGGGTCAGCAGGTAAGGTAGGGGGTCATAGTAGTAGGGGGGTCAGGTAAAGTAGGGTGTCAACAGGTAAGGTAGGGGGGTCACAGGTAAAGTAGGGGGGTCATCAGGTAAGGTAGGGGGTCATCAGGTAAGGTAGGGGGTCATCAGGTAGGTAGGGGGCCAACAGGTTAGGTAGGGGGTCATCAGGTAGGTAGGGGTCATCAGGTAAGGGTAGGGGTCAACAGGTAAGGTAGGGGGTCATCAGGTAAGGTAGGGGGGTCAGGTACAGTAGGGGAGGTCATCAGGTAAGGTAGGGGGGTCATCAGGTAAGGTAGGGGGTCATCAGGTAAGGTAGGGGGGTCATCAGGGTAGGTAGGGGGTCATCAGGTAAGGTAGGGGGTCAACAGGT